AAGTAAATAAAAGAGAGAACCAATGAGTTTTTTAATTGTTAGACATAATAGTCTGTTCTTTATCTTCCAACTCTCAATTTCATTTTTTCCCTATATCACTACGACCTTTTTCATCTTCTACTAATTTGACAATAAAATCCACAGTCTGCACCTTGTTAATCTGGTAACTTCAATTGGCTAACATATGTAAAGAGTAAAGCTTTTTTCTTTTAAAGCAAAGGTCTCAAATTTTTATAGTAAGAAAGAGACAGGAAGACAAAAAAGTATAGATAAATTTTAGAGATGGTAAAAAATTGATAGCAGTGGGATTAGTAACAATGGAGTGCGGTATTTGATGAGAAGAAGAAGTGGTTGTAGGAGAAAAGAAAGAAGAGTATGAAAGAGAGATGGAGAGAGGGAGGAAAAGATAAAAATTAGAAAATTGATAGAAATTGTTCTTTAAAATTAAGAAATGGCACGTAAAATAATAAGAAATATTTTTTGAAGGTTTATGCAATTATTGAAACCTCGAAGGAGTTGAGTGAAATTGTCAGAAACCTCAAGGAAGGTTTCTGAAATCATCCCTTATTCATATAGCAGAACAAATAAAAGAAATAAAAAAGGGGTGAAGAAACATCTTTTCAGATCTGTCATGGAGTATAACATAACTATGTAGAAAATAAGTCTCTTCTTCTTTACTAAAATTTGGAGTCTAGGGACTTGTGAATTTATGTCATACAAATATATATATATATATATATTCTTTCTTCTCAAAAACAAAACTCTTCTTCCTTGGGAGGAAGACCAATTGGTCTTCGTTCGTCCCTTGTCCTTTTTTTATTATTATTATTTGTCATAAAGTCCTTCCTAAGTTTTTCTTCTTTTCTACGGATTCTTAGTAAGAGTTCTAGTGATTTTTATATTTCTTTTATTGATATAAGTTTTTTCCAATTTATATGTTAGATTGGGATTTCTTATATCTATCTCGTCTAATCTCACATTAACACCTAGGGGAAAGCAAGCAGTGCGATTTTTTTTTTTCGATTACGAAGCAACAATGAGAATATTAAGTAGTCTGGTTAGAAACATACACAAATGATCTCAGAATTATAAGTGTTTTATATATTAAGCATTTTTTAAAGTTTCACAATGTAATATTTTCTTGACTTTTCAAATCTATGGTATCTAGTTTTGTTCTGTAAATGTATTTGTATCTATGTATTGTTGATGTAATGTCTGCCATTAGTGTAGATTTAATGAATGATGATATTTTTATTTAAAAAATAAAAGCGCTTATTTCAATCAACTGTTTTCTCTAGTATGCATAATTAAAGAGAATTAATGGATCAATAGATATTTTTGTTTTTGTTATGAAACAACTAAAATGTGGATGTCCCTTTGTATTCTCAAGAGAATTAATTCATGATTTATAGTTATATTATGTATAGAAGTTACAATCCATAAATCTATTCATATAATGAAAAAACCGTTTTATAGGTTTCTTCATATTTTTGTAGTAGTGGGTATTTAATAAGATTAATATACATTTACTCTTATAGTACCTATATATAGAGGTACATTGACATCCTTTTTGGGACTTTTGTATTAGTTGAAATATAAGAATACCACTCTCTATTTCTCTATTTCTTTCTCTAATAGCTCCATTCATACTATAGTAGTTTATTAGTTTAACAATACGTTATCAGCACAAGTCTCTACTTTTGAGCAAAAGGTGAAAACGAAAGCTCTACCTTGAACAAAAGTGAAGCACAAGATTTTGCCGAAATTTTGCCCGTATTTCTTCAAGTGACTTCTGAGATAAATTTCTAACTCAAAACTTATTTTAATTTCTTATGGCTAATCTTACAAAACAAGAATTCTTATCTCTTGATATTTCTGGAAAAAATTATTTATCATGGGTGTTGGATGTTGAAATTCATCTTGAGGCAATAGGTCTTGGTAACACTATTGTCGAAAAAATGAATTCTCAAACCAAGACCGTGCCAAAGTTATGATTTTCCTTCGTCATCATTTAGATGAAAAATTAAAAATAGAGTATCTTACTGTAAAAGATTCTCTTGTCCTTTGGCAAGATTTGAAAGAAGTAATCGACCACCTGAAATTGGTCGTTCTTCCAAAAGTCCGATATGATTGGCTTTACTTACGGCTGCAAGATTTTAAATATGTCAACGAATATAATTCAGCCATGTTCAGAATCACTTCTCAATTATCATTATGTGACAAAAAGGTCACTAATGAAGATATGTTAGAGAAGATATTTTCTACTTTTCATGTCTCTAACATATTCCTGTAGCAGCAATATCGAGAGAAAGGATTTAAAAAATATTCTAAACTTATCACATGTCTTCTTTTGACTGAACAAAATAATGAATTATTGCTGAAAAATCATGAGTCTCGACCAATTGGTGCAAATTCATTCCCTAAAGTGAGTGCGGCTCAATTTCAAAATTCTGATCGAGGTCGTGGACATAGCCGTAGAGGTGGCCGTGAAGGAGGCCGTGGACGTAGTCGTGGCCGTGGACGCGACCGTAGTAGATTTGTGCCCCATGAAAATTATAACCGTGGCAAATAACAAAATATTTCGCAAAAGAGGGAAAATAACAACGATCAGAAAAATGGAGAAAAGAAAGTTTATGAAGAAAAATGTTATCGGTGTGGTATGGAAGGTTATTGGTCCCGTACCTATCGTACGGTTGAGCATTTTGTTGACCTCTATCAAGCATCATTGAAAAAGAAAGACAAAGGTGTTGAAACAAATTTCGTTGATCAAAAGAATAATTATGATGATAGTGATAATGTTGATATGGCACACCTCGATATAGTTGATTTTTTTTGAGCATCCTGAAGATGTCAACAAATATCCCATGATTGTTTAGATATTTATATGATGCTTTATATCTTTCATGTAATTTTCTTTCCATTGAATATTTATTTTCGCATCTTTACTAATATTTATTTTTGTTTGAATTTTTTTTCCTGAAAAAGAAATGGATGTCAAATATTTGAGATTAAATAATAGTGATGATGACATTTGTCTCATTGGTAGTGCTACTACGCACACCATATTAAAAAATAAAAAATATTTTTTTGTTTGAAAATTGGAGAAACAAATGTTAATACCATCAGTGATAGTGCAAAATTGATCGAAAGCTTTGGAAGAGCCACTATATTTCTCCCTGAATGAACTAAAATTATCGTAAATAATGCGCTATTCTCTCCCAAGTCTCGGAGAAACTTATTGAGTTTTAAAGATATCCGCAAAAATGGATATCATGTCAAGACAATGACTGAGACAAATAGTGGGTTTGTTTGGACAACAGATTATTTGGTCAAATATATTTACTGACATCACCATTACAATTTCCAATACAGTTTTTTATCTTCCCAATTATCTTTTTATCTCACATACATCACATCACAAAAACTGCTACAGTAATTATTCCAAATAATATTTCAAATAATACCCTATCCAAACAAACCCAGTGAATTTTTATTAATTACAAGTCTCATTTCTGGGCAAATATGCATAGCAGAAAAATTATCTTATTTTTCTTCTGACTTATATTATGCACAAATTGGTGAAATGGAAATTCATCACCTAGTAGACCAGAAGTCTACTCTTCCTAATGATTTTATGGTTTAGCATAATCGTTTCGGAAATCCTGAATCTATAATGATGAGACAAATAATTGAGAATTCACATGACCACTCATTAAAAAATCAAAAAGTATTAAAAACCAATGAATTCTCTTGTGTTGCTTGTTCTCAAGTGAAATTAATTATTAAACCATCACAAGTTAAAGTTGAGACTAAATCCCTACATTTCTAGAATGAATTCATTGTGATATATATAGCCTTGTAGTAGGGGTGTCAACGAATCGAATCGAGTTCGAATATTAGTTTGATCGAGTTCGAGTTCGACAAAGTGCTTAAGGTTCGAGATCGACGAATATTAATTTTACATGCTCGAATTCGATTCGTAAGGAATTCGTGAGGATCGAGCTCGTGTTCGAAATTGCTCGAATTGTGGTTGAACTCGAACTCGAAATTGCTCAAATTGCGGTCGAGCTCGAGCTCGAAGGTCCATTAAAATTGTGCTCGTTTAAAACCTGTTGAATGCTGAACCAAATGATCTACACAAAGATACTCCTCTATCAACGACATTTTGCAATACAATGAAAGGGGTAACGAGCACAAAAATGTTAATAACTAACACAGATATTTTAAAATGTGTTTGACTAAATCTTGGAGCAAGACTTTTTTATACACCAAGTAACTGCACAAGCTGTTATTGTTAAAATATGTCGTTCAAACTATCTACTCTAGTAATCAATATTTCAAGCAACTCGAAGAGGGACAATAGAGGTATCTTGTTAGTCAGATAAAATCATATTCATTTGATTCCTTTTTAGCCTTGACATTGGTACATATTAAGGCTAAAATCATACATCTAATGCCTGGACACAGAACACAAATAAGTCAGTTTGCAATATCCTTTTTAGCCTTGACATTTGTTACATGTTAGGCTAAAGTCATACATCTAATGCCTGGACACAGAATACAAATAAGTCAGTCTGCAATATCCTTAAGCAGAATTTGTCCTTTATTCAGCCTTTTATCTGAACCAAATCATTGAACAGCACTGTCTAAAGTCCAAACTCATCCATATGATTGAGAATCTAAGACAAGCCAACTTTAAATATCAATTTAAAGCCAAAGCATCAAACTGTCAAAAATTTAGCAGTTTAATGCCAAGTTGTCAACCAATATCCAAATTCATCCATACATATTTTAACATCAAAACCAGCATCCAAATTCAAAGATAAGTCAGACAACCAACATCCACCAAGTCACACAAATAGAAACAACAAAGACAAAGTGTCAACAACTTAACATTCAAGTGAATGTCTTCAACAGGCAATGTCAATTGTCAAAAAATAACCATACTTAAAAAAGTGAAACAAATTTTGCAATTAAAGCAGTAAAACAACAACTTCTTGTCCATTCCACGATAATCCTTTCCAACTTTCCAATTTCAACTGCAGGCCCTATAAAAAAAATAATTTAAGTAATAAAATATTAGTGGTAAAATCTAAAACAAGATATTTGAAGAGGAATCAAAGTGTTAAACACAAATAATGTACCTTTCCAATTATCACATTCATTTTATGGGAAGTAGAATCTCTTTTGCTGCCTTCAATTTCTGCAAATTAATAATAACAGTAACAATAACAATAAGTAATAAACTAATTTTGTTTCAATAACATGAATTTGAAATAAACTTACTTTTATCTTTTTTTTCACTCCATGAATGTTTCGACACCAATCTCCGGCACACATAAGCATTTCTACAGTTTCAAGAGCTAGTGAGGCTCTACAAGAGTCAATTACTCTTGTTTCAGCGGTAAATGTAGCCTTAGAAGCAACAGTAGTAATAGCAATGGCAAGGATATCGGCTGCCATCTTGGATAAAATTGGGAACGTGAGCCTGCTATTCTTCCACCAATTCAAACAATCAAATTCATGTCGCGGCACACTTGAATCAATCTTGATTGGACCCTTTTCCAAATAAATAAGTAATTCAAATTCTTGAGGCGCTCCAGTTTGATATTCCCTCACATACTCATCAAAATTATCCCAATTTGAACCAGAAACACTGCTTTGAGAAACACTACTTGAAGGAACCTGAGAATCCTTTCTATTTCCACCCTCACGTAGTTCATTTGCTTGCAAATATTCATTGTATAATTCAAAGATTGCATTTATAACCTTTTCAATATTTTGCTGAACTTCACTAGGGGGAAAATGTTTAGGAAAACAATATTCTATTGCAGTCATTTTTTGTCGAGGATCTGAGACAGCAGCCACAGCCATTAATAGATTACATTTTTTCCAATACTTATCAAATTTGAATTTCATCTTTCTCACCATTGCTCTTACGAAATCATCATCATCATTAGCCTTACTATCCAAAACTAGTTTTATTCTCTTAATTTCTTGAAGAAACAAATTTGAAGTTGGATAGCCGCTACCTGAAATGATGTTCGTAGTTGTCCAAAATGTCTCTAAAATGCTGCATACTTTTTCAACTTTCTCCCAATCTTTTTCGGATGGACAGCAATAATATTGTACGTCTCGTTCTCGATACATTGGGAAAACCTCTTTGAATTTGATTGTACAGTTCAACATCTCAAATGTAGAGTTTCACCGTGTCCTACAATCATGAATAAGCTTTCTTCCGGGGAGTCGAAGCTGCTGCACAATTTCTGAAAATAAAATTTGTCGACTTTCTCTTCAGCCCACAAATTCAACACTGTCACGAACATTTTCTACTATGTCTAGAATCTCCCCGAGACCATGTTGCACCATCAAATTCAGCACATGAGCACAGCATCGAACATGAAAAATTTTGCCACCACAATCTAAGTGGTTACACCTTGAAAACGTCTCCTTCAGTAACCTGACAGCCACATCATTAGCTGAGGCATTGTCGACCGAAATTGTAAAAATTTTGGTCTCGATGCCCTACTCTTTGACACATTTGAATAGAGCGTCCGAAATATCAATACCTCTTCGAGGTGGAGGAAGATTGATAAAGTTCAAGACCCTCTTTTGTAGCTTCCAAGAACAATCAATCCAGTGCCCTGTGATCACCAAATACTCAATTTTCTGGTTCTTGGACTTCCACAAATCAGTGGTTAAACTTATTTTCTCAACATCCTTCAACTGATTTTTCAATATCTTTTTCTCAGCTTCATAAATCTTCACACAATCAGCACTTTTTATTTGGATTGCTATTTTTTTAAAGTTTTTATAGAAAAATATTCTGTAATGATTTGATATATATTAGATAAAAATGTGATATATATTAGAAAAATGTATTTACGAAAAATGTAAAAAATTTTTTAAAGGAAAAAAAATCCAAACGAGTCCGTGATACTTTTTAAAATTTATTTTCTCCTAAACACATTCTGTGAGGGTGAATTTTGAAAAGTGAGACTTTTTAAAATAAATTTCTAAACGACGAAAAGCATATTTAGCGAATGTAATTTTTTCGTAAAAGACGCATTCACTTAATGCTTTTTAAAAATTGTATAATTATGTATTTCTTAAACAACGCATGTAGTGAATGCATTACTCAAAATATGCATTTACTACATATGTTTTTTTTAACTTTTACTATTTGACAACTCTTATAAAACATAAACACGATTTGGGAATTTCTTCTATTTCTTGATATTTTTTTTTTTTATATACATCATATTAAATAAAAATTTTACAGTAAATAATGCAATTTTAAAAAATATTTGTCAATCCAAACCAATTTGTTTCTTTTTCCGTTTTTGGTGTTTATACTTTCACTAGTACTCATACAACAACTTAAAAAAAGCAAAAAAAAAATGTTTGGCCAAAAAAAAAAAAGTATGGTTAAGAAAGCTTGTGGGATGTGTTGTTTTTTACTCTCACAAACAAAAGAAATCCATTGGATTGACAACACATTACTGACTGTCTTATGATATGAAGTCGTCCGATTTGACATTTGACTTGTCATTTCAAGGTCCCCCATCCCACCCATCTCTCCTGCTGCCCCTGTCTTGTACCTGTATTTGGTATGTATTATACTATATGTATGTACGATGCACATATACGTATTTTATGATATGTCTTTCGTGTATAATGTTTAACCTAAATCCTTTATCTTTTTTTTTTCTATTACTTTTTAAGTGTTGTTGTAAATTTGCCCCATTCATTTGACAATTTTCAACTTGACATCTTCAATAGAAAAACATATACTTTTACCACTGGCCTTAGACAGATCAGAAAATTTTTTGCATGTTTAGACCAAAGAATTTTGAGAGTTGACAAGTGAAGGCTTCTTCAGATTAGCAACAATGTTATGATTTCAAATGCCAAAATTAAGCTACGCCAATCTAGGGAACTCTTTTATGAAGGATGAAGATTGCTGCTTTTTCTCTAAGTAGCTTTTCCAACTACAAATGTTCAGGTTACCGTTTGGATGCCATAATTTGGGAAAATTTTTTAAATATTTTTTTTGCTTACATCATATATACAATTTTCGATTATCTTTTTATATCACATAAATTATATTATAAAAAGTGCTACCATATTATTCCAAATAATTTTTTTCAAACAATCTCGTATCCAAACACACCTAAATACATGAAACGAAAGTTTCTAACATTAAGCAGTGAAACACTCCCAGCCAAGGAATTCGTCTTACAGCACTATTTTTCCTTTGCTAGTTTTCAAGAAGAATGAACAGAAAAATAAGGGAAAAAAAAAACAAGTATGTTAGACTACCATACTTTGTATAGTAGTAAGATGTGAACTTGTTAAGGCAAATTATTTATAATGACAAGCAAAATTTGTATTAAACTTTTCTAGATTGATCAATTATGCCCGTTGGATGGTAACGGGCCCGTTTGGCAAGTGAGTTTTTTGGGTGTTTGTAAAAAACTTTACTGTAAAAGTTTTTTAAAAATTTTTGAAGTGTGTAAATTTTTGAATATTTTATAGTGTATAGTTTAAAAATTTTAAGAAATTTTTGGAGGTTACTATAATTAAAGTTTTAAAAAAACTTGTAGCAGACAAACTTGGCAAAAAATTCAAGTGCCAAACAGGGCCGTTGATATATAAGTTTGACCCCACATCTTTAACTCATATCACCAAGAAGAAAAGACATGCATATTTTTGTGATTCAACAGACCAATGACATATAAGATGAGATCACTTCTAACTTGTTTAAGCCGGGGAGTTTTTAGATAGTTTTCTGGTGCATGATTAATTGTTATGTTTTCTTAATATATGATGTGAAAAATGAAAACGACGTTATTTTATTTAGACTGTTTCTGTTTTGTTCAAATATCTAATACAGCTACTTAACAGTAGTATGGATATGTTCTGCTCCTCACAGGATCCAGATACTAAACTTAGCAATTGTATGAGAATTAGGTGTTTAAAAAAAAATATATGAGAATCAGGCCAAGTTACAGTTGAAGACTTAACTGCATGAATTGTGGAAACTCCAAAGATGGAGTTGGGTCAAATTTGCATGTTTAATAACAATTGAGGGACCTTCGCTCCTGTTTGGATTGTTATTTTTAAAAAAAAAAAGAATTTTTATAAAAATATATATTATAATTGTTGTAATTTAACATATATGAAGATAAAAAGTAATTAAAAAATATATTCATAGAAAATGTAAAAAAATTTTCTTGAAGGGGTGATTGTATTTGTCACTTCCTTTGTGCTTGTAGTACAATACTTATATTTTCAAACATTATTGTAAAGATATTGGGCTTCAGGCTGTAGTAAAACGAATAACGTCCTCACACGAAGAGGGCAAACGTGGGTCAAATGAAGATATCAGTGCATGCTTGATTTTTTGAAATTGAAAAGAAAACAATTCATATAGTATTATCATAGTAATGTTTGAATATGAATGAATGGCTATGCTGATCTTTAACTTTTCTATGCACTTCCCAATCTCTAAACCGCATTATTATTTTGTACCTCAATTTTGTGGACTATATTATTAACCATTTATTTTAGCTTGTATTTGCTTTCATCTTTTATAATGAACACAAACAAACACACACAAGCCACTGCATTTTACATGATTGAGGAGCATGTTCTTGATTTCATTATGCAAGCTAGCCCATAAATCATTTGAGAGCTAGGAGACAAGGGTCAATTTCTCATGGCTTTACCTCAAGCACATTGACCCTTGTAGGCATCTAGTCAACGGATTATTTTGGACATTTTCTCCCTGGACTCTTGTGTGCTGGTGATTTGATGTTGGTGAGCTGTGATTAGATATTGGAAAAAGGATTGAAGTTCCATTTAGGGGAAGTGGGTGAAAATTTCAAAATATTCTCTGCTTGTGGTGAGTTAAGGGTCAAAATAGTTAGAATTGGTTTTCCATATGTACAAAGGAGCTAGGAGGGGTACTAGTGGGTTTTAGTCAGCTCAGCTCAAGGCCTTCCCATTCATTTGGGAATCATCAAATTGCACATTCCACCAATGAAGTCTCTTTGAAATCTCTTATGATGGCCCTCAAACTTAGAGTTTTGGAGGAGACACAATTGTGTTGTATATTTCAATTGGAAGGTCGGCCAGCTTTGACTTAGTGAAATGATGTGCCAAAAGCTGCATATAAAACGTATAGGTTTGACAAAAGTATATATTTGGTACGCAAAATAATTACAGATGGTACGCTTATACAAATGCTTGTCTCTTCTCGGTCTTGGTGGATATAATTGCTCAATAGACTCCATAGGATCCCAATCTAATGGCGG